TCTGACTGTAGCTAATTCATTTTAATTACAAAATGTTGGAGAGTTGAACTGTGTTTTGCCATGTTCAGTTATCCATTCACCGGTTAATACACTTTGCTTGTGCTTGTCTTCAATATGAAATTCAATTGAAAATCTAACCCATTTAGAATTTTTTTACAGAGGCTATTAACAATGCGGCAGAAGCCTGGGGCATCAGATGTCTTCGATATGAAATCAAAGACATTACTCTTCCAACCAGAGTTAAAGAAGCCATGCAAAAGCAAGTTGAAGCAGAGAGACAAAAAAGAGCTAATATTTTAGAATCTGAAGGTAATGACTGCAGAAATATTTGTAATATTTGATCATAGCTATGATGGTGTGAGAAAAACTCCCCCAACTAATGTTAAGGCTTAGGTTTGTGTTCGTTTTGGTGATAATATAATACATGTGCATTGTATATGACCTAGTAACAGGAACTTGATGCAAGAGATTTACTGTATGAATTATATTTAGTAACAAATTAAATGTGTTGGTGTCAAATACAAAAAATCTTCTCTGATTATCAAATAACTTCAATAATGACCTTGAATTACAATGTTTAACCCGTATCCTGCCTGACTTAAGACTCAGTTTGCATGATTAGATAAGGGTTAAATATACCCTATGCTAGAAACATTAGTTTCTAAGATTCCATATAACAAGACTAACTATAGGTTGCTTATATTCAAATACGAGCATTCAAGTCAAAATAATAATGAATGAGTAACTTCAATTGCTTATGCAAGTTGTCTAAAAGTGTACAAGTCAATATAATAATTTGAGGAGGCGATAACTTTATTAGTATTCACTCAGTGGTTACCTTGAAATAGGAAATACTATTATACATTTGTCACCGTAACGCCATAAGTTACATCGTGCTGTAATTTTGCGGTATTTTACGTAGTATTTTCATCTTACCATATTAGGAAATGCGAATTCCAAATATGGAATGATTACGTGCATAAGCGTCTTCTAATAATAAAAACAAATATGGCTGCCACCAGAGTTTGACTGGACTCCACACAAAGAAGTTTGCTGATTCTGTTCTAAAGTTTTCTGGATTTCGTGATGAATCGCAGTGTAGGTCTGGCAATTAAAAATATTACTGTTTGCTTTCATGGCTCAGCATTACAGTAGTAATACTTGAGTATAATTCTTGGATAGAATATTTCATTATCACTGCCATGTTTATCACGTTATCATTCCCAATTAGTTTGTTTGAATCAAATGTCTTTATTAATAACTTGTTCGCAACTAATGCATGTTAGAAAAGTTGTTGGCAGTCTCTACAAAGAAATCATGTCTTTCTTTTCAAAGGTGTCAGAGAGTCTCAAATAAACCGCGCAGAAGGTCAAAAAAGATCTACCATATTAGCGTCAGAGGCTATAAAATTAGAATCCATCAACAGAGCTGCTGGAGAAGCGGCTGCTGTCATAGCCAAAGCTGAGGCCAGGGCAAAAGGATTGCAGCTTGTTGCTGATGCATTGTCAAGACAGGTATTCTATATTCTCACTATCTAAGCATTCAACACTAGTTCTAATAATCTAGAACTATATTCAGGCTTCTTAGCTTTGCTGTTGGCAAAGTAAACTGAGTGTAGATGTTCATATTACTGATTGTCTGTCGTCATTAACTTTATATTTTTGACTTCTTTTTGAAAACAGCCAGCCTGATTGCTTCACAATATTGTATTTGTTCATTTTGTGACAAATATCTTCACCTCTCTAATTTTAGTGCACATTTTTGTCATTTTTGGTAAAAATATACTATTTTGGCTTATTATTTAAAATGGC